AACTACTAACTACTAACTACTAACTACTAACTACTAACTACTAACTACTAACTACTAACTACTGACTACTGCTACGGCTACTGCTACTGCTACTGCTACTGCTACTGCTACTGCTACTGCTACCACCACTACTACTACTACTACTACTACTACTACTACTATGTTTGGCCCTGGTGTCCACAATGAGACGGCTGAGACCAATAGTGAAGCAGATGAAACGGGAGATGTTGAATTGCTATCGGCAGTCACACATGTAAACAGCTTCCATGTGCTGCCAAGCTGAGGCAGTGATGAGGTGAAGGATCTCTTCTTCACCACAAAGCCGCCACACTCGCTGTTGAGGCTGCTATCAGCTACCAGAGCTCTAGACGTTGACTGCCCTTTCGACTTACCTCCGAATCGCCGGCTTTGAGATTTTGCAGCTCGTCGTTGTCCGCATTGGTGTTTGTTGTGGTACAGCGAAAAGCACGTAATCGAAATGGCTGTCGCACGAAGATTTCCAGTCAAAGCAGGGCTGTTTGATGTCGGCACCGGGGTTCATGTTCTTTTAGCTTTCCTTCGCATTTTGGCAGGCAGTCAATCGGTCCCATTCGCCAGATCAGGGGAAAACGAGCGCATGTACGGACTACCCACCTCTGACGCAATCATACTGACTTTCCCTCGAGCGTCTGTTGCATCACTCAGGACCACAAGAGTCGTGTATGCTGCCAGCTGGGAATGAAACCAACCAATTGCACAGGTACTGTTATTAGCCGGCAAGCTTGGTATAACCAAACGCAAGGTTTCTGAATCATGGCGCTTGGGCTTTTGTAACCGTTCATTGTAACCCTGCTGCCGAATCCTTCAAGCATTGCAGCTCTATACTCTATACCTGCAGCACGGCATTTTCTCCTAAGTTCATCTGCCCATGTGCCGTGTGCCGGAGGCGCCTCCACTCACCCTGAGTCTGCGAGAAGTTTCGGCCTGTACATAGTCGTTGGTGCTTTGTCCATCGGAGCTGAGCCTTCATGTTTTGTATTGTCAAAGCACAGTCTCCGGGCTTGCTTGCCATCGTGCTCCGCTGCAAAGCAGTCTGCAAACAAAGCCAGGAAAGAAAACACGTTCGTATGACTTCAGACGTCCCTTTCCTGGACGACACACCGGCAGAAGGTGTGATGCCCAGACTGACACGGTGCTCGAGACTCTGACCTGGAAGGCCTTTCAGGAGCAGCTCACCACAGAAATCTTCGAGCAAGAGATGTTTGCATCTGTGGGATGCCGTGTTCACCGATGCCATTTGGATTCCACATATGAATGATTTCTGTATGACCCTGGTTTCGCCGTTAGAAAAGTGGCTGACCAGGTCAGAGCCTCCAGACCGATGTAATATCTGGCACACTTGCACTCGTCATGCAAAATCAGCCCTTCCCTGCTTACCACCTGTTGTTTCCGGCTGCTGGGATTGTTCCTGCCATCGTTATTTTGCTTCCGCCTTTTGTGACGGTCGCAGTTATTCTCGCAGTGGTTGGCTGCATGCATTTTTGTTTGCTTGTTTCTGGTGTTGTGGGTGTTGTTGGCATTAATGTCGAGCAACTGCTGCTGCTGGTGCTGGTGCTGGTGCTGGTGCTGTTGCTGTCGCTGTCGCTGGCGCTGTTGCTACTGTGTTGCTACTGTTTCCAATTGCAAGAGGTGTTGCGACTATTGTAAATGGTTGTGCCAACCACTCGTGGTCATTGCTGCATGCAATATTACATTCTATGCAGTGCTGCACGGGAAAGACTTTCGGCTGGGGCGTTCTTTCATGAGATCCCACCAGCCTATCAGGCCTATCAGTTGAGCTTGCAGTCCGATCGATGCATCAGCGACAACCTGTATCGCGGGCGGGTTGGTTAGCACATCATTCCTAGAGCCTGCACCCCAGCCATCCCCAGCCCCAAGCCCGGGTCTGATTCTGAATGCAGTGTCTTTGGTTTTCGGTGCTTCAACCAAGGCAGAAGTGCATTCAAATAGCACGGAAGGCGGCTCATGTGAAGCGCACTCGCCAACCGAATATGAGGGCGCATGCCCGACACGCCAGGAGAGTGGCGATCTCCGGCAGCTCTGCGCGGAATGCAAAAAGCAGGGATTGACACCTCATTGCAGCGAGTGAGAAGTGGTTGAGGGACCGGTTCGGGGCCCCAAGAGGCGGTGCAAAGCATGGGACCGTGGAACAGTGGAGTCTGCACGGTCGGGAGCCTGACCCAGCAGCAAACTCATGCTAGAAAGGGTTGTGGCCTTGAAGACGCGGCCATGTTTCTGTCCAGCCCCAAACTGTCCGCAAGCTCCAACACTGTCGCCGTGAAATTGCTGGTTTCGTGTGAAGCACTGCCGTCGCGAATGTCTGTCTCCAAAAACCGCCGCACAAGCCGTGACCCCAAAAAGCCCAAGGTTGATCTTCCACAAGCTGACCTGGGTACAGGCAGACTCCTCATGCAGGGCTTGCTCGATTGTGGGACCGACCTACTTCGGGACCAATTTATGACACGGTGGGAGGTCCTACTGAAATGGGTTTAGATCTGTTGTGTTGGGTTGACTTACCTTTGGGCATCGCTCAGAGGCAAGCGTAGTCTGCTGCTTTCTCCATCCGTAACCTCATGCTTATTGAGAAACACTCTGCTGTCACCGAAGAGCCTTGA